CTTCATGCTGGGCCACAGCCGGGCAGATCTGCCTTGAGATTATAGTTGCATCATTCCTTGTCAAACAAAATACATGCTGTAAAGTTTGCAGTGTTCTTTTTCTTAACTAGATAAACATTCATATGTTGACCTTCAATTTTTAAATATTTATTTATCATTTTATGTGTATGAGTATGATGCCTGAATGTATGTAAGTGCACCCATGTCACGCAGTGTTCACGGAGGTTAGAAGATGGTGTCAGATCCCCTGGAACTGGAGTTATAGATGATTGTTAGCCACCATGTGGGTACTGGGAACTGAACCTGGGTCCTCTGCAAGAGCAGCCAGTGCTCTTAACCACTGAGCTGTCTTTCCAGCCCCAACAGTTATTTTTTCATAACCTAATTTTTCATTGATTATTTATGTATTCACTTCAGCACAACCATTAGTGAAATGAGCCAAAATACTAGGTGAACACATTAGAAGCAGATGAGATTTTTGCTCACTGTGTCAGAATCAGGTATTACTCATTGTCTGTGGGAGATGGGCTGCTCTCAGGTCTGGATCTGGGGGAGTCCAACAGGATCCAAACACATTCTTGGAATTCCTTTCTTTTCCCTCCCCTCTAAAAGCAAAATATGCCTTCAAGGCACCTGCAGAGTCCCCAGAAGACAAGTGGGTTTCCACTTGGGGTTGTTCAAAAGTTACATAGAAAACAATTATGCTTGGTTTTATTGTATTAATAAATTTAGATCATTTGTTTTGATCTAAAACTAGGAATTATTTTAACCACATTTTACCTGTTTTGTAGTCCTCAGAATTCTTTATAGCTTTGGGCTTTTATAAAACTATCCCAAGCTGCTGGGCATGGTATTGCATACTTTTAATTCACTACCCAAAAAAGCTATCCTAAGCTGAGATTGGTATTTTAGCTATTTAATGGTAATATTGTTTTTAGAAAGTATACAGATGCCATTTGGAAATGCTAAAGCGTTTTTAAAAAAACATTTTATTTATTATTTTTATTATATGTGTATGAGTGTATTGTTCTACCTGTGAGTAAGTGCGCCTATGTCGTGCAATGGCCACGGAGGTCAGAAGAGGACATGGGATCCCCTGGAACTGGAGCTACAGATGTTGTTAGCCACCATGTAGTTGCTGGGAATTGAACCTGGGTCCTCTGCAAGAGCAGTCATCACTTTTAACCTCTGAGTCCTCTCTCCAGCCCCTGGAGATGCTACGGGTTTTTAAGTTCCTCTTAAAAGATTTGCTCTGCAGCCCCAGAATGAGAACAGGTTAGAAGACTTCCTTCCTTTTTTTTTTTTTTTTTTTTA